GGTTTAGGTTGGAAAGGACCTTGAAGATCATCGAGTTCCTACCCCCCTGCCACAGACAGGGACACCTCCCACCAGACCAGGTTGCCCAAGGCCACCTTGAACACCTCCAGGGATGGGGCCTCAACAACCTCTCTGGGCAACCTGTGCCAGTGCCTCACCACCCTCAGAGTGAAAATTTTCTTCCTAATGTTTAATCTAAACCTGCCCTCTTCCAGTTTAAAGCCATTCCCCCTCGTCCTATCACTAAAAGCCCTAGTAAAAAGTCCTTCCCCAGCTCTCCTGTAGGCCCCCTTTAGGTACTGGAAGGCCGCAATAAAATCTCCCCAGAGCCTTCTCTTCTCCAGGCTGAACAGCCCCAACTCTCTCAGCCCCTCCTCGCAGGAGAGGTGCTCCAGCCCTTGGATCATTTCATTTAAATTCAAAGGTGAGTTGTCTGCACCTACAGAGAAAAGAAAATCTCCAAAACAAACATGATGAAGACTAAAAACTAGAAGGAAAATTTTAAAAATCTTTAAATAGTAGTGGTTTTGACACCCACAATTGACAACATGTACAGTATAAAAAGGTGTTTAGAATTTAAGAATACTTTAGCTAATCAAAGATGGCTACAATAAAGTACAACGCTGTGTTTGGGTTTTTGTAAGACATGCTAAGTTTATAGGCATTGAATTCTTTCCAATCTAGATAAAGTATCTATTGTGTCTTCAAAAACTGTGCTAAATGTTTTCAAGGGGGATTGTGTTGTTTTCTAAACTGAGAGATAGGATCACTCCAAAACCAAAGTACAGTATGTTCCCAAAAGGGTGAATAATTCAATCTTCCACCTTGATAACTCATTATTATCCTGTTATTTTGAGTATGACAGAAATGTCAAGGCCTGGAAGCTTTAACACTAAGCAGGCACAAATAAACAGAAAGTAGCTGAATACAGAATAATACAGTACACACAACAATGTAAAACCCCTAGGGAAATCTATCAGAAAAGCCCTCAGAAAACAAACCACTCTACAATGTGCATACCAGTAAGCATCCTTGTATCCAAACCAGTTGTACATCAGACAAAGAATACATATTTTGCTATTGGCCATATGCTATAAAAGAGTGAACTACAGTAAGACAAATAAAAGTCAGTAATAACATCAATCAAACATCAGCAAACATGAAAACTAAGACTGCAGGCAAAAGTTCATAGCAGGAATAAAATTTACTGTCCCTGAGCTGCTGCTTATTGCCACTGCCTTGGTAGAGGTCACGATGCCCTGAAGTGGAACGCAAACTATTCGGTTGCTTCAGTGCAAAGTCTGCCAGTTTGTTTTAATCTGCTGATTGTTTTATGATAAGCCATCAATCTTGACACTGCCATGGTTGAGATGCACATAGCTATTTAGCTCTCCTTGTTCTTCTGTTGCGCCAGCAATGTGCAAAACACAGTCAGAACACAACTCTTCAGTGAGTCCAGTTAGACGCTCCAGAAACCCCCAAGCACTCAGGCTGATGCTCTAAAACACAGATCCTAAACACTCAGATGCCTCTCCCTCTTTAATTACCTAAATCCATTTGATTTCTGTGGCGAGTTCATAAACATCCCTGACAACCCGGTCTAAGGAAACCCAGTTCCTCAACCAGAATCAAGGCTAATTGACACTACAACAAATGACAGTCTAATTTGCTACCGCATTCTTATTAAACTAGAACTTGCTTAGTCTAATTGCAGAATGTTACCTAATTAAAACTGAGTACTCTGGGCAACAATGATCTAAAACTGAAGTTCACCCATGCTTATGTCATATTTAAGTGACTCTAGCCTCCAGGAGAGCTACTGAGTCCTTTCCTTTTGCTTGCACAACTGTTTCTATGTCCATGTGATGAGCCAAATCAAGGAGTTCATATAGCTGAACACTAATCTGAAGGAAAATTATTAGCTTTAGCTAGATCATCTTGTCAATCTACCTCATTACATAGTTATCTGAAGAAAAGTACTGGCAGAAGAGGGGAGATTGACAGCAGTCATTCCCTAAAAATAATAATAAAAAAATACATAGAGCGATAAACTTATTAGGATTAGCAAAATTACAACTAGCACTTCAGAATGTAAAGCCAAACTATGATAGGTAACAACAGAAAACCAATTAAAATGAAGCCACATCCCTATGAAAGTGAGGTCTCAAACAGGATTAATGCGTCAATGTACTCACCATGTGCTAAGAACGTTTGTAGACATATATTTAGGTCATACTTAAGAGAAGGCAATGAACAGAAATTTACAAGATCTGTGACAGTACCTCATGGCTAGACACAGACAGACAAGACATTGTGGAAATACAAAATAATCATTAGATGGATATGAATACATACTAGATGAGCCATACAACTAACTACAATACCAAGAAGTAAAAGAGCATGCCAGAAACTCCATAGTTTCACTGGCAAATGAGAAGTAATACATGAGGTTAAAAAAACTGATGGAAACTGATGAGAATTGGGAAATTTAATACCTCCTCAAATACATAGTATAGCAAGAACCAGTCACAGAAAAAAAAAAAAAGCCAAAGGGAGGAAAAAAACCAAACAAACCACAAAGCAAACAAAAACCACTACTCAGGCACCAAAAACCTCAGATGGTAAAAGGCTGTACTATTTTCTCCAACTAGGATGCCAATGTACTTGTTTTCAGACTACAATATTAAAAGGCTTCAGAAGCAGAAATCTAGAAAAAGCAAGTATCGACCAAACATACAACAACTCTGCATACAAGCAGACCAGAGTATCCAAGTTCAAGGGTGGGGAGGAGAAGTTGGGGGTGGGTTTTGGAGGGAAAGGAGGATGCAAAAAGAGAAATAAGTGGTTGGGCTGTTTTGTTCAGTATGAAAGCTATTAAAATGTGAGGACTCTTTTTGGACTTTCACAGAAAATAATTACTAAACATTAGCTTTGCTGTATCGCACAAAGGTTTCACTCAGTATTAGTCATCTCCATTGTACTGTACAAGCAACACTAAAGATATCCTCCTCAGTAAATTAAAATCCCCAGCTTGCAGATTAGGGTTACATAAATAAGTGGTAATTTAAAAGACAATGTGACACAACATTAAGTATTTTGATATTATTTGTGGATATTTAAGGTAAGAGATTTGCTTTCTGTTGTTGTTCTTGCGTATTTTTTTAATGTATATAGAGATAGCATCATCCTTTCCAAACAGAGCACTACACAGACATTATTAACAATTCATTTCAATCTCACCAAACCAATTTTTATAGTGAGATCTTCAGAAAAGGCAGTGTCTTTTTGGATAACATCAAGGAGAGTCCCATATAAGGGACAACCTGAAGGACAGCAAATAATGCATCTGTGTGAGCAAACGAGGCATGAAAAGACTAGACTGACATTATTGTTAAATAGGGACAGGCAGGGGTATTGTATTATAATAGATTAAAAAACACCAGACAAGCCAAAAATACATACCTTTGTACATTATATAAAAGATACTACTTGTGTTACAGGCAGCTTTTCAACTCCATTTGCTTATACTCTGCTCCATACAGGGAAGGCAATATACTATTTAATAGCAAAAGCTTCCACTGGATTATTGTATTAACATACCTGGACAATCACAGCAAGTGAGATCCCTGCAAAAAGCTTATCAAGCAGAGATGAAGCTGCCTTTCAGCAATGAGGACAATGAAGAGGATAAAATGAAAACTTCATCACAAGGAAAAGAATATTATGTCCCCAGAACAGCTGCTCAAGTAGAGAGAAAGCAGATGAAGATGTCAGAAGTTCAAGGCCAGGTTGAAAAGCAATTAGTAAGATGAAAGATATGAAGTTGAACCTTTTACCCTTTAACAAGGCAATGATCCAGTAAAAATGTATCACTGGAAACATGATCTTTAATTGGGAAAAGATAAAAGAAATTTGCTGCCACACAGGGAATGGGGGGAAAAGAGTCAGCTATGCTAACTGCTGTCAGGTGAAACCAAAACTGATATGCATCCTTCGCAATGATATGCACCACATGCAAACTGTTTCCTCTGAATTTCCCTAGAGTCAACAAACTGCTTTGATTACAGGAACTATTAGCAAAGCAAGTGTTAAAATCCACTATTTAATAAGGTTCAGCATTAAAAAAAACATAAACAAAAGTCAGTATCAAAAGTAGCATCAGTGGACAACAATGTTTACCTAAAAATAATGCCACACACCCCAAAAAAAAGATAATATTAAGGCACTGAGAATACGTACTAGGAACACTGAGGACAGGCATAGACTAGAAGAGCACTTAAAATAGCAGAATAAGCAAACTGAGATGGAGCTGCAGCTGGTTCTCCAATTACTAGGTATTGTTTAAAATGCATACTCAAATCAAAATCCCCCAGAACACTTGTACTCTCAAAGATGACTTACACAGTTGAAAGATCTGTATTTTAAACTATCAAAATTTAAGTTATTCAAGTAGCTGCAAATACATTAAAGAACAAGAAGGAGGTAAAATGAAAAACCAGAACACAGGGAAGTATTAATATAGTATCTTCTACAGTATTTCCTAAGGACTGTAAAACTAATCTCTCAAGTTTTCTCTTCTGAAATCCCAGGCATATACAGTATGCTCGAACAGCTCTGTTATTAGTCTGTGATAACTGCTCATGCCTTAGAGTGTATATGAAGTCACTGAATGATTGGTGTTATTAATGTTAACACTCAGGGAATCTTGAAAATCAACTGCAGGGGAAAAGAAGATGAAGTACAACTCAGTGTTGGTGAGGGCCATATTAGAAACTCTGAAAATAAATGTTTATACATGCACACAGGCATCCTTTTCCATGCATTAAAAGAAAAAAAAAAAAAACCACAATCCCTATTTTTATCTTGTCTATATGTTTAACGTAACAGAAAGTAAAAAACTACTACTGAAAGACAGAAAATAAAAGGAGCGTATAGCACTAAAAAAGCTGTATGTAAGCATGATGGTCAGCAATGTTTCACAGTAATATTTAAAGAAATACCTGAGTAGATAGACAGCTCTTTCAATATCACTGAGTTCTTCATCAACTGTCAATCTTTCTATTTCTTCTGGTGTCTGTCAAGCGTGAAATAGAGATTACGAGTTTACAATGCCTTACTATTTCATCATTTTAATCTTCTTAAAGCAACCCCTTCCTCCCCACCGATCCAGGGATAGTTCCATGAGTAATTTGAATTTAATCCTTGAAATCTCTAGCCAACATTTCAAATTCAATCAAATAAATCTTTCACCAGGAAAAGATGGAATGTAACAGAAGTACAGTTCCACGTCAGACACTATCACTATTAATCACTAAAAGTATAAACAAGTCACATATACATTAACCTCAGGACCTAAGTTAGTCTGCTTTTTTCCCCAGCTTAGTATTCTTACACTGAAAATATTAAGCCCCTGCTATATAGAATTCGAGCTTGTTTATTCCAAAATGACCAAAACCAATTTTTAGCATCCCAATGCCGTAAGAAATAAACTGCCTATCCATTTCGCTGTGCATAAAACAAAACAGACACACAATTCCAAGCGGATTTTAAAGCATCGCTCTATTTTGAAGTATGTACCTTCAAGCTCCTGCGGACCGGCCTCTCTATAATAGTTAGTTCCTGCAGGTCTTCTATGTATCCAAACAAATTGCTCTGACTAAAATCCATTTTGGGGAAGAAGATTATCGGATGCATGTAACAACTAACGCCTTTGGCGACCGATGCTCTC